AAGGATGACCCTAAGAAGCCGTTTGTTCTACAGTATTATCCCACTTAATGCTTTACACTTCTCTATTACGTTTTAACTTGGAGGCTACGATTAGCATCATTAGCACATATGTAGCTACCACTTGCTTACATGCTAACTCAAGCCTTGCTACTTTTCTCTTTCGTATAGCTTGTTCGTTCACACAAGGCCGTAACGGAGCCGCGGAAACGGACCCCTCAAACGATAACGGGTCCCAAGGTGGGTAGATCTGCGGACGGAACGCTCTGGGGGGCCAAACGGCTCCGTGTGGACGTCCTATACGATCATTTCCTGATAACGATGAAGCCATAGCCCCGCCTCTCCCCACCTCTGCTGCTCACTGCTGTAGCAGTAGCAGTAGCAGTAGCTACTGTCAGTAGCTAGTGCTACTGCTAACCATGCTACAGATGTTAGTGCAAAATCTACAGCTCTTCTACCACAACCATCAGCAACAAGTGGACATGGAGAACCACATGAACTACATGTTGCTAAATCCACCGCGGAGAATAAACAGAAGGGCAACCAGGCAACCATGGCAACCATGCTCGGGGGTCTTCTTCACTGCTTTTGGTGTATTTTGTGGCGGAAGTACAGCGCCACTTACAGGCCCGGCATATGTACTACAGTGTCTCCAGCGGGTCGAGCGGTCTCATGTGAACGGACACGTTTATTGAGCCGATTGCGTGTGAACGGAAGACTTTTTTGATATCGAATTCGGTTCATTTTCGTTTGCGTTCCCGTGTAAATGGGGCCTAAAAGACCCGGCCTGTCAAATCCTCACGGTGTTGAGGTTATTTTTGCCCCCTGCCGTCTTTTTCACATGCAAATTAAATCATCATTGTTAGCTTGTACTAATTTGTAGCCTCATGGGAGGGGGGGCGCAGATTTGTCATGGTCTCTCATGACAGAATCATGTGAAGTAGTTAATTAAACAGTAATGCAAATGCAGTGCCAAAGAAAAAATTACTTTCAGTTCAGTGTTATTTGTAGTTGTAAATGAATTTAGGGCACATGTTTCTCCTGTAGAGTGCTACATCAGTCTACTTTACCTTATATCATGTTATTCTCTGCTCTCAGGCGTTATTTGCCCATCTTGAAGGGCTTTCCAGCCAAATACATATATGATCCTTGGAATGCCCCAGAGGACGTGCAGAAGGATCGTAGGAGTCCACTACCCCAAGCCCATGGTGAACCATGCAGAGGTCAGCCGCATCAACATAGAGCGGATGAAGCAAATGTACCAGCAGCTATCCAGCTACAAAGGACTGGGTAGGGACAGGACCCAGACACTGATAACTTCAAGCTCCCTATGAGACTTGTTGTCGTAAAAATACTTTGATAAGCCAAGAAATTCAGAGCTAATGTTTCTGTATCGTTTTCCAAAACAAGTGTTGTCTTGTGGTTAATTTGAATGCTTTTGTCCCCTTGCAGGCATGCTTGCGACCATACCTGCCAATCCCAAAAGTGGTGTCGGAGGAGTCAACACAGGAAGCAGTCACAGTGTGGGAGGCTTTTCCACATACACTGTAACTCCTCAAACAGGTATGTAGATTGAATAGTTACATTCCCATTGTTAGAATACCATTATTTTCATTTAATACATACATAAATGTAAGATTTTACAATGCAGAAAAGATACTAACGTGTTATTTACTTAAGTCATAACACTTATGGCTAAAGTAAAAGCCCAGTAGACTTGAGCCAGCTGTGATTATACATATTTGCTATCTGTGGCATCGGATTTGCTTTGGACCTTTTTAAACTGAATAATGGTAATTTAATTTTGGTCTTCATTATTGTACGTTGCGAACCTACATTTCTCCCAAAAGAAGACAGAAATATTGATTAACAATAAAATGCCCTTAGCTGAGAAATTAATCGCTACATAGGTAAAGATTCACTTCACTGCTGAATGTATCGATTGTCTATAATCTTTGTTCTACGTGTCATTTTTTAATGCAGAAAAAGTACAGACCGTGAAGAGGGTCCACATAGAGGCTTCAAATCGCTAAAGCAGAGCAAATGGTGTGCAAAAGGTTGATTACAAAGGGAGTACCAGTCAGTCTGGATCTTTTGGATAGCGTCTTTATTTGCACTGGCATCAGCTGACACAGCAGCAGCTGTAACTAACAGCCATCGATAGCCATACAATTCCTTGTTCTTCAAATAAGACATGTTATGCATCCCAGGAAAGGCGGAAAGCATTTAGACTATAATTGAAGACAAAGAACCCTGGAACTGCAGGATATAAAAGGCAAAAACATTTGATCTCCAGTATCCACATCTAGCTGTTGTGAAGACCTCTATTGTCTTCCACTACAGTATGTCAACTGCTGATCGTTATCATCAATGTTCCCATTCAAGTGATGGGAACATATAACACAATCTGGAGTTGCCTACCTGACATATAGGACCTGGATAACACACAGTGGTATCTTTCTGAAATATATCCCAATATTTCTTTAGAGAGACAAATATTGGGAAATAAATACATTTGTCATATATGTACATAATGTGATTCCAGTTTTTAAAAGCTCTGGACACTAAAAGGAGATGTACAGTAATGAAAATACAACCTCACTGTCAGGTTTGACAATAAAGAATGCCTTTATAAAGGCTATCAGACATGTTATCAATATTTATTGTTTTTATTTCAAACTTTATATATCTGGTTGTGTGGTTTTACAACACCTTTTGTAAATAATGTGTTACGAAAAAAGAAATGTATTGGATATGCATGTCATTTTCTCGCATGTGATTGTAAATATGATATTTTTGTATAAAGAATGACTCAATTCTAACTGTATTGGAATGGCAATAAATGACAAACATTGTTATATAATTTCATTATAATTCATCCTTTTATTTGCACTTTCTGTAAAATGTTTTTATCTGACACCATTCTCTCAACAAGAATGAAGGTATGCCTTTTTAAAGTCTGATAATCCTGCATAATGTTTTGTGTTGACATCTAGCCATGCGAAATATTCTCAGATTGCTATACTTTCAACGAATTTGCAAAAAAGATGAAACAAGTTTGTACTCATAATCCCTTATGCAGTTAGTCAAGATTTTTCACGCTGAACATCTATAGAAATGTGTTTTCCTAGAAAAGCTTTAAAGGGGGGAAACATCTGCTCTTGTTTTAATTGAAGAGATTGGTATATATCCCATTCATAGGTTTTTTTCCGTTATAGATCAAACCAAATAGAGGGGTTGTTTCCAGGAAATATAATTCAAAAATGTGCATATCACACTTTCTTTTCATAATTGTAATTACTCAAAACTCAATGGTATCATTTTCTATGTAAGCCGTAACCTGTTTTATATCTGCTTAACCAAAACTTAGTTTAATTAATTACTTAAATTTGCCAAAATAAACTTCATACAAAGAAGCGTTTACAAATTAAGACTTTTGCCAATGGCCTATCACGTTTTATTACGTACCTAACCTTTGTGCTTTCATGGTTATAAATATTGTTGCCCTCAGACTGGCCTTTTCCAGAGGTTGGAGAAGTACTCAGATCTTGTACTTAAGTAAAAGTAGAAGTACCAGAGTGAATGAATGCTCTGTTACAAGTAAAAGTCCTGCGTTCAAAATTATACTCAAGTAAAATTACAAAAGTATTGCATCAAAATATACTTAAAGGACCAATAGTAAAATTACTCATTATGCAAATTGGCCAATTTCAGAATAACATATGTTTTGATTATAACTATTAATGTGTTTATCAAAGCTGGTAAAGGTGCACCTAATTTGTATTAGGTAGTGTATTTACTCAAGGTGTACTAAAGTCTTAGTTAAATGTGCAAAGCAACCAAAGATATTAAATAAATGTAGTTGAGTAAAGTACACTATTGACCGACTTGTAATGGGGTGATTGGTGAAATTGAAATAATTAGTAAAAGTCCCTCAAAAGTGTACTTGGGTATTATTGAAAGTATTCGATGTTCTCGCGCCCAGGAGAGGAGCTTAGAATGAAGAGACTAATGGAGTCTCCGAAAAGGTTCAAATTGGTTGAGTTTAATTAAATGGCACGATGATACAACAAGCAGAGGGTAAGAGGAGAGACAGAGCAGCTGTTGCCTCGCCGGGGTGCAGGGGTGAAGTCCCGTGGTGAAGAAGAAGAAGAAGTAGTCTTCCCCAGAGCCCCCTCACCTCTCTATCTCAGTGGTGACCCCTCCTCATCGATGGTGGGCGGTGACGTAGGGAGGGAACTTCCCTCCTCTTTCTCATTGTCTAATGTCAATGTCTAGTTTCTCTGATTAGGTCATCTCTCTGAGAGTGAATCTTAAATGTATGTGTGATCAACAGACGCTTTTTAGGGGGTGAGGTTTTGCCTACTGTGTCTGTGTATATCTCACTGTCTTGTAGGGTGAGATGGTTTTGCATACAGTGACAGAGGGGGTATCAGCTGCTATGACAAAGCTTACTGTGCGTTTAACCTAAATTACGTCATTGAATATTGATTTTAATTTCTAACAATCCCTCCTTTCACACCTTTTAAGGTGTGAACACAATACTGAAATCAATGAGTTCTTCATAAGACAGCTTTTAAACTGACGGTATGTTTTAGACTAAATTATGCTATAAAACATTGATTTTAATTTCTAACAGTATATTGATATATCTATTTACTCAAGTAGGCTACACTGCCAAAATGAACTATCGCATGCAAGCAGCGTTTAACAATCAATACATTTGCCAATGGCTTATCAAGCTTTATTACCCTCATTTGTGGTAATAAATATTAATATTTGATATAATAAGTTGTTTTTTATAGGGATTGGCTTAGTCTGGCTCCTTCACTCTTATTAAACTGTTTAAGAAAATACAATTATTACAAAAGGAGGTTTATATTATGTTTATATTCTTTAACCAATGTGAGGGAGTCACGCTCTCTGTAGGAGGGAGCACGCTGTGAAAATCTCATGAGAATCCACTGGAGGAGCTCCTCCGTGTCCAAAGGCTGCTGCCGGTCAGTGGGCGGTGATAGTTGAGTTCAAGCCTCTATAAATTGTTCCCGCACACAGAGGCGGGTAGAGTTGCCGGTCATCGATCCTGTGCTTGTTTGACTAACGCTGAAGATGGAAAATACCCAGGACAAAGTGCAGAGGAAGCCTGTTCGCCTCATCGCGGCGGCCTGCAATGACATGGGCATCGGGAAAGAGGGGGGAATGCCCTGGAATTTACCGTAAGAGTGAAACCTTTGTGATGATGTCTCTTATGTGACTCATTCAGTCAGGAAGTGTTATGTCTCTATATGAGATGTTGCTGTATCGAAGAGAGCCTCTGTATAATATAGCCTGTCTGGCCCTGTCATATAGGCTACCATTTGAGTAAAGCTTTGGACAACTTTGTTATATTTCTAAATGAAAAATGAAAAATTGTCATTTTATTTCCTTGATTATGTCATTTGATGAAAGCAGTGTATGCTGAAGTTCTTGGTGTATAGGTGAAAGCAGCAGCAGTGCTAGTTGAGAGAGACAGTAGGCCTACTCATAAAAGCAGTGTCTTTTGAGCTTATACAACATAGTAAAATCTGAAAAAGAGTTGTTTTAAAACTATACATCTAATTCCCTGGGGCATCCTGTGCTGTATGTGGAAACTACAGTAGGCTACATGGGGTTATTTTTGCTTAACAGCTGACTTTAGTATGCCTGATTTTAATATTCAACATTACACCCTTACAGATCTGAATTCCAGTGGTTCCTGAACAAAGTCACAACGGTGTCAAGACCAGGTATGCCTCAACGTCCATATTTCATCATATTATCGCCATCTTATTTAGGGCTGGGTTTTAAAAGCTGCAAAAGTTGAGATGTGGAGAGTCAAATATGCTATTCTTTTTTGTTTCAGGAAAGTTCAACATGATGGTGTGGGGGAAGAAGTGCTGGTTCTCCCACCCAGAAAGTACTTTCCCACTGCCCAATACTCTTCATGTGGTGCTGAGTTCGACACTGGAGTGAGTGCTCTCTCTCACTAACATCTGCTTTGAGATTCCAGTTTTTTTTGGGTTACCCAGAAATAGGGCTGCTCGATGATGGCAAAAATCATAATCTCGATTATTTGGGTCAATAATTGATATCACGATTATTAAAAACGATTATCCATTTACTTTGAAAACATCAATTTATTGGAGAAAAAAAATGTGAACAGTATGTTTTTAACAGTTGATTACCCTGAACTTTAAGTATAATTCAACTGAAAAAACTATTAAAGCTCCCATGTCATGTTTTTCCGGTTATTACCCGTCCCCTTGTGTGTTATGAAGGTTTTTATGCATGTAAACGGTGTGCAGAGTCAAAACCCTCAAAGTACACCCTGTAGCGAGTAAAACTCTAACACAGAAAATACCTCCCCAAAACGCCTCGTTGGAGATACGTCACTGCCCATTTGAGTCTTCCATTTCGTTCCGGGTACGGCATGATGTCAAGCGGTACCCGGAACGAAATGGACCAATCCCGAAGAGCCGTTACGTTACGTCCGCGGAGCCGTTACGTTAAGCCCCCGCTGATTGGTCCAAATTAACCAATCCACGGACTTCCTCACACACACATCTGTGTGCAGGGAGCAGGCAGCTCAGCTGATTTCTCCTCCCTGGCTGCAGGCTGATAACAGACAGTTGGGATCGCAGCAAAATTCTCTCTGCAGACCCATTCTCACAGCGTTTATCAACCTTTTTCTTACTCAATATCAAGCCACACTTATTGTTTTTACTTCGGATGTGAGTTTGTGTGTGCTCAGGATGAGTTTGGCTGTGTTTTGCTAAGTATCCTAAACAAGGAAACAACACCTCCACGGAGCTCAGCGCGATTCACAACGTCCCGACCAATCAGAGCACACTGTGCTCACAGGGAGGGTGGGGGCTGGAGCTATTGGAGCTACAACGAGCCGTTAAAGGCAGATAGTGAAATTCAGTGAATACACGTAGTTTACAGAGATGCTGTATGAGAAACCAATGTGAGTTTGGAAAATTGCACAATATAAATCTATTCTAGTAGACCTCAACAATGGAATTATGATCAGTGGAAATGGCCATGACACCTCTCCTTTAAAAAAAAAGTAATAATAATAATAAAAGAATAATCGTTTTATTTCGATTACGTTGTTTTCGTAATCGTTGCAAGCCATAATCGTAATTGCGATTAAAATACGATTAAAGGTGGGGTAAGTAAGTTTGAGAAACCGGCTCGAGATACACTTTTTGTTATATTCCATGGAATGTTCTTAACATCCCGATAGCAATGAATATCTTAAAGGTGGGGTAGGTACGTTTGAGAAACCGGCTCGAGATACACTTTTTGTTATATTCCATGGAATGCTCTTAACATCCCGATAGCAATGAATATCTTAAGTGCTTTGACAAAAAATCCATACAAAAATTTCATCTGTGGAAGCCGTAATAATAACTGGATGGCCTACCTGCCCGTCAGCCTTCCATCTGTGCACAAACTTATCTCGTGCCCTCATTGGTCATGTGCGCGTTCGTGTGTGTTGGAGGAGGGGCTCTATAAGGAAGTGGCAGATTTTCTCCGGTTGTGTATTTTCAAATTCTAGCGATCTCGAGCCGGTTTCTCAAACGTACCTACCCCACCTTTAATTGAGCAGCCCTACCCAGAAACCAATCCCAGATTTCTTATTGTTCTTGTGAAAATAACAAACTTTTCTCCTCTTACAGCTCACCTCCAGATCATGCCCACTTTGTGGGTTCAGACCTAGAGGCAGCTGTCCGCCTGGCTGGGAGCCACCCCCTCGCTGACCTGATAGAGACCATCTGGATTGTTGGAGGAATGCAGGTCTACAAGGTAAGCGTGTTTCATTGAAGCCTCGTGATACATATGGCAGAGAGCACGGCAGGAAAATTAGTTTTGGGCAATCAGCTATGGCCCCTGTCCTCACATGACTCCCAGCATAACCAGCATAACCAGCATAACCAGCTCTACCAGACTTCAATCCGTTCTACTCCTTGCAGACTAATTTAACAAATGTATTTGTGTTGTGAACAGCATTTATGAGCCAATGGGCCTTCAGTCTTGCGTGCAAATGTTCTGACACATAACCAAGAATGAAAGCGATTACACCAAAAATGCCTGTTAGCAGAAGAACTCCAGTTTGAGTAAAAATCAAGGTACTGTTAAATACTGTCAGAACAAAATTGATTTTATGGGATTATATGGCCATAAAACAGTTCTCGCGGTACTGGAAAAAGCATGTAGGGCAGTATGTACGCCATTGAGAAGTTGAAATATCATCCTCCAAGGGTTTTTAGTATTATTTGGGATCAGTGGAAAACTAGTTTATCTTTAACTCACTAATATAATAATCCAGTTATTATAATGACTTTAAAATTTATAATAATCTTAATTTGATTGAGATTTGTGTGTTTTTATGTTAAAGGAAACCTATCATGCTATATTTAAATTATATATTGTAGGGCCATACCTATACTGTATAAGGTATATTTATACGTTTCTGTTTTCAAAATACCAAACAGATCATGCATTTTAGCCATGCCTCATTTCGCTCTATGTGCTGTTTGCTGTCTATGGGTCTGATTCGCCTGACCACGCCCCCCTGCAGGAGACGGGAGACGTGCTCTGATCAGCTGCTGGGCTGTCAGAAGAGGGGGAGAAAAAGAGATCTCCGTGTTTTATTATATAGAGTCGTTATTCATTTGTTTTAAAGCTCAATAAATAACAAAGAAGACCGGCACTTTTCTAATTTTGTCCGGAAGATTTAAACTTTAACGGACATCTTGACCAGCGAAACAAACTGAAACTGAAACTCTGCCGCACGGTCCCCTCGTTCCTTGGAAGAGGCGGAGAGGTGGGTGTTTGTCATCTGCTGGTGGACTAACCGGAGAGAATTACAGTGCTTGCCTCGACGGGGAGGGATTGCATTGCAGCGGGAGCAAACGCTTGCCTTGGGGAGGGAGAAAGAAAGCCACAGCGGAGAATAAACAGAAGGGTAACCATGGTAACCAAGTCTTCTTCGCTGCTTTTGTGGCAGACTACAGCGCCACTTACAGGCCTGGCATATGTACTACAGCGTCTCCAGCGCTTTCGAACGGCAATGGCCGTGGCTGTCTCCTCCTGATTGGTGGAGTTGGCCCAATAGCCGTAGCGCTACCGTCCTGACGTCAGGACAGTGTTCAAATCTGGATCAGTTTTTATCAGATCCGTTGCAGCCCCTTTTTTAGAGATTTGGGTATGGAGGAAAATAGAGAGGGTTGTGTTTTCTGACACTTGGTGAGTTCCCTGGAACACCGGGGACACATATTCATGTGTAAAAGACGTACAAAAATGCATTTTGCATGATAGGTCCCCTTTAAACTAATGTTTCCTTGCGCTAGGCAAACAATTTCTGGTGGAGTGCTCGTAAACAAAAGCCAAAATTAAATAAAACCCATGCAAATCCCAGAATCAGTGACAAAGTGACATAGTGACAAATTACGAGCAAACTGTTCTTACAAAACGGAAATTCATTCAGTTAGCTTCCTGCACAAATTATTCACAGGATGCGAGCAAATAATCGAGCGACATCCTGTAGTTCAGTGTTCCTATAAACCTTAACATTTTATTACACTAGCAGGTTTGGTAAACAGTATACTGTTAACATTGTCAGTGCTGTGTGGAGTCACAAATATAAAGAGCTGTCTTCCGCAACTAATGGATTTCTTCCTTCAAATGTCAGTATGTTCTTTCTTACAATAAAGGCTTATTTGTATCCCACATTTTACCGTATGGAAAAAGAAAAGCCACATTGTTAATACTGTCAATGTGACCCTCTGTTCATTCTTCTGATCAGGAAGCTCTGCTGCATCGGTGGTGTGACTTGGTTTACCTTACGAAGGTCATGGCAGACTTTGACTGCGACGTTTTCTTCCCCGAGTTTGACAGAGAACTCTTTAAACTACAAGAAGGGTGAGTGTCCATCTCCTCCCCCAGACCATTATAGTGTGTGTTGTCCTGACCCCACGTCTAAACCGTGACAAGTGACATTTAAAGTTGTTTTTAACCTCGGCACACTTTGCTGACGCCCCATGAGACAGTTATTTTTGCCTTTTGTTACAAAATAAACACCAGCACCACCATAGGACCGCACCGTTGGGGGTTTCTCTTGTTATTTAAAATTCTGTGCACTGAATGTGACGACTAAATTACAAAATAATGTACTAAAAGTAGATCATTCCCTTGTCTTTTTATTATTTGAGGCGATACATTACAACTTGTAATTAAAGAGTATTTTAATTGTTCTATGTCACTAGGTTGTATTCCATAACAAATGTGTATTATGTATGGATATTGTTTATCTATTTAATTATTGTGTTTGCCAGTTTTCTGTTCTTTTAATAAACTCACAAAGCTATTTTTTACTTTGTTTCCTAACCAGATTTCCTGGTGTACCGAGTGAAATTCAAGAAGAGAAGGGTGTTAAGTACCAATTCCAAGTATTCAAGAGAGAGACAGGCGACGAGGTTTAGACACTTAACAGAGAAAAACTCAAAGTCACTCATTACTTGAACACCTTTCAAGATCGATTGCCGAGTCAACTCATGGACAGGGAAAGCCAAAGTCTTGCTATCACTTTTTGTATTATACGGAACATTCCAGTGTTAATACTCTTGACATGCCTGAAATCCCATTCTTGTTTTACATTTAAAAAACAGCCACCCTGTGCTGTCACCTTGTCAGGTTTCCCCACTCGTCCTCAGTAAGTGTGCAGCTGCACAGAGAAAAGGGTAACGAATAATGAAATAATGAGACGTACTTTTGGATGAAGGTTTTATCGGTCTAGTCTTTTGTGAATTTGATAGTTTTTTTTCATGAAATGGTTAAAAAAAATAAAACAATCCTACCTCATCTGGTTGTATGTGTTGCTTTTTGCCACTAGATGGAGGCAACTCAATGAGAAAAGGAATGACAGCCCACCTTAATGCTCCCGGGAACTGAATTAACCACCAACTTGGATTACACACACACACACACACACACACACACACACACACACACACACACACACACACACACACACACACACACACACACACACACACACACACACACACACACACACACACACACAAGGGTTAATGTAAAACAAGGCGGTCATTAATGAAAATAGCACCCTGGGCCCTGACTGGTATTGGATTTCATGTTCGCCATGAAACCCTTAGTCAAAGCACATCATCTTCAACTAATTACATTTTGATACAAACCCTTTTGTACAAACAAGAAAACTAAGATTAGTTAAACATTATTTCATGACATACTCCTAATTCATTACAATAAGAATATTTGAATATTGATATTTGTGATATAGACTTTTAGTCATTTATTTGGCACAGTTAATTTTCCTCAGTGGTGTCTTGAGCCTTTATCTCCTATGGGATGTTGGGCGGAGTGTGTTACAGGCACCCATACTAGAGCGTCCTGTTGTTCCTATTTTTTAATTGAAAGAACTTAATTGTGAACGACAAATATGTGTTGATATTGGCAGCAGGAGAGCTCTTTTATGTAAGCAGGATAAATAATGGAGCTAACATCTTATTCAATGGAGGTAACATTGAGTTGCTTTATTATGGTTAATCTTTCAGTAAAAAAATTACTATTGGTTGAAGGCTATCATGTGTTCATCTTCAATCTAGAAAAATTGCAAGAAGTTGCTTCAAGGGTATGTTATGAATACATTTTAAATTATTTTAGTTTTCTTGTACCTTGTTAATATAAAGTACCTCTATTAATATTGAATTAGTTCAAGATTATCTTTTACATTATCCCTTACTTATTTACTTTTTGAAGAAGAAGAAGATGGACCTTTATTTATTCAGAAATTCAGTTTCCACACACATGTCGTACACACACGCATTTTTTTTATACAGGTACATACAGTACACACAGTACACATACAAATACACACACAGTTATATGCACACATGCAGTTGAGAGGTCAGAGCGGAGGCAGCCAGTCTAGCAGGCGCCAGTGAACAGTTGGGGGTTAGGTGCCTTGCTCAAGGGCACTTCGGCAGTGGCCCAGGAGGTGAACTGGCTCCTCTCCAGTACCAGTCCACACTCCGTATTTTTGGTCCGATCGGGACGTGAACCGGCGACCCTTCGGTCCAAAGTCCAATCCCCTACATACTGAACCACTACCGCCCTGGGCATTGATCTTTCATCAATGTGATGTTTATTTTCCTCCCACATCATGGTATATTTGAGTTATCTCAACAGTATGGAGCTAGAGAGACAAGTAATAACAGAAAACCAATTTTCTAGCTTTGTGAGTAGAGAAAAAGTTGAACTGCAAATGTTATTTTTTATTTAAAGAAACACAACACAAGTGCAATAACAATATTTGTTCATGTTTTTATTTTAAGGCGGAATGTTAGAGGTCTATTGAGGAAAACAAATATTAATATATATTGCGACTTAGTGGTGAACACAGTACTTTCCTTTGAGAAATAGGGACTATTTCAGTTGCAAAAAATTGTTTATTTTTCTCCTGCATTAGCTTGTTTTGATGAATATACTTCAAAAATAAAAATGTAACTCCCACTGAGGAATATTTACTGCTGTAGTTGTCGTCCAAGTCCTGACTTCAGCTGGAAATCATAGCTTTTAATTGCAGATGTCATCTGTTTCAGGTGAGATATAATCCATAAAAGCAATTTGTTAAGCGTGGCTAATATCAACCAGTGTCGTGTTTGAAATGAAAAAGTACAATTTATACTCCCTCTTATTAACCTCTCTGGCTTGTCTTCGTAATTCAAACCCACAGTGCGGCACGACACGGCCGCAGAGGACAAGAGGACGGTGGGTAAGAAATAGAGGTGACTTGCATTTATACACCTGAGGCCTTGTCCCATCCTGATTAACTCCTTGTATTTATTGCAGAGCGAAACTCAACCTTGATGAGTTTAAGAAAATGTCACGGATGTCTGTGTTTTAGAAACCGTCAGTACATCAGCTGCGGTGTACTCCTGTTGTACCACCCTCAGGGGTTCCATGTTATGAATGGTTTAAAAATGAACTCAAGCATCCATCTGCTGAGCACACATTCATTACCAGATGCACTCACTTTCGCATCATCTGCCCAGTGGCTATCACCATGACTACAGAGCCTTGCTGTGTGATGCAGGAAGCGGCAGATGGGCAGTGGAAGTTGTTAATGTATATAATCCCCACCTCCTGTCCCACCTCATCCCTCTGGACACACAAGTCCTCTCTCTGTTTTTGTTGTGACCCCCATTTTACACAGAGAGGGAACCTTCAGGCATAAAGTCATGGCTTCATTAGCCGTGGAGCCCACTCCCATTAAAGGGCACTCTTTCACATGCTTCAAGGGCTTTTTCTGGCTTTGAAATATTAAGACACATTCAAAACACAACCTTTTTGCAATGCCCTCCTTTGGTTAGACAATGCTCAGTAAAATTGTGTATTGATTTTGTGGCCGACACTTAAGTAAATGTGGGCACTAGCCCAAAAGCAGTCTTTTTACCTCTGAATGACGCACACAGACAGGAAAAGCTCATTAATTAAGCCAAATATAATCGAAAATCTATTTTACATGAATGAACTGAAACTGCTTTTTGAATTAATATTGAAAAGTGCATTTAAAGAAACCGTTCAAATCATAGGACATTTTCCTGACTTTTCATTTTCTCATCTTTCAATAGCATTTGAATTCCTTTGAAATTATAATGACATTTCTGTAGTGAAATGGCATATAATAAAGTGTCTCCATCTGTAAACTAACAATACAAATCTGCCACCGATTTCTTCCCTGAGGGAAACAGTGCTGCCAAGAACATTGTGTGAAAATAAGAGACTTACACAGGCTGTAAATAAAAAGCTTTGAACAGCCTTGTTTGTCCACAGTTATACTCATTACCCAGTTATATTATGCAGTGTTTATTTCACAGACCATAAGACTGTTAAACACCTGAACTAAGAACATCCATAACATTCACCTGTTTGTAACTTACAAATGATTTATTACTTGTATATAGACTCTTATGGCACTACTTCTATTCTATTTTATTGTATTTACTTGCACTATTTTATCTGTTGTATTGTGTTGCACTGTTGGAGGAGCCTGTAAACTAAGATTTTCATCGTCATAACTACACTGAAGCTATGTACGAATGACAATAAAAGCCTTGAATCTTGAAGTTATAAAGTGACTCGCAAATAAGCTGTAATACATTCTTTATTTGGCAAGGGACTCTCTCCTAAATATTTTGATGCCAATACATTTGTCTTACTCTCTGGGAAGTTGATACCTACATACACAACATGAATTTACTCCTGCAGTAAGTGTGATGTATTTCATTTGTAATGCCATCAGACTGAAAAATTGTGAGTTTTCTTTGATCCGTGTGAATATTTTAATTTTCTGCATTTGGTGTTTAGATACACTTCATTATTACAGGAACAAAGCAGTTTGTTGTTTGGATTTAAATTACTTTGAATATTTTGGCAGCAGAAAGGGACTCTCAAATACTTTCTGCCAAAGTGTGATCCTTCATCCTAATTTTTCACACCTTAAATATACATTTAGCCTGTATTTACACATTTACACCCATAAATCGTGCATACTGAGATACTTTCCAACAGACACTCAAGTTAAAGTGGCATAAATAGATATATGTGGGATAAACAGATGTATCCCATTATAAATGTAATGTTTGAAATGGGTGCACACCTTAATCCTACACTGAATAACATAAATAAGAATATTAATACACATCCAGTTTAAACTTTAATTCTCTTGATTTAATCCATACAAATGATGTCAGTCATCCACTTTTAGAGGGGCGACAGGGTTAAAAATAGGTCTTTCACTACGTAGATGTAATTTTCCATAGCTCATCTCAAAGTCCTTTTTAGTGCCATTAAGGACCTCCAGACTACCTGTCCTTACGTCATACCCATGCACCCTCAGTCGCTGGATGCGATAATTCACTATCTGCGTGGTCAGCTCCAAAATGGTCGGAGTCTCTTTGATTTGCGACATGCTGATTCCAACGCTGAGCAGGCCCTTAAAGCGCTCGGCCAGAATATCCTCAGGGTAGTAAAGCACAGCCGGACAGTTGAGGATGATGTGCCGCAGCTCTGCCTCGGAGCAGCCAATGGTGTCCTGCGAGTACGCCAGGGTGCGGCGCATGCTGTCGGGGTTCAGCTCGGTGACAAATCCCCTGAGTTTGGAGAGCAGGTGGAGGAGCTCGGCGGTGCTGAAGCCCTTGTCCCTCAGAAACAGCAGGTTCTCCCTTAGCACCTCAGGGGGCTTCAGGAGAACAAACGGGTTCTGACTCAGCAGCTTCTGCAGCCAGATCTTCATGTTGGCCTCCTCCCCCCCGAGCTCCTGGTAAGCCTGCTGGAGGGTGCGCACCATCACCTCGTTCTGCTCTACCGGCCGACTGAAGCTCAGCGGAGCGCTGGCCATGAGCTTAGTGATAATTCTCTTGTTGAGGTTAAGGCTCTGGAAGAAAGTGATGTTGTTCCGCTGGTTGTCGTGGTGGCTGGAGGAAGTGAAGAAGGAGGCTGGGAAGTTCTCAATGATACCAACCAGCTCTTTGTGTTTCGGGCACACGGACATCCACAGCTCCCTCTGAGTCTGCATCTGCTCCGGCTGGCAGAGAACCGCCTCAGGGTGAACTGTGAGGATCCGGGCAATGACAGGGCCCGAGGCCCCTAAGTCCTTCAGCAGGTCTGCTACCTCCTTAGTGTAGGCTGGGCTCTGATGCAGGACCCAGCTATTTAGTTTCCGCACCTTCTGGATGTCCACAGAGAGATCGTAGAGAGCCTCCACAGTCTGCTGGTTCTCTGCTGGGATGAGTGTTGCACATGGTCTTATGTGTAAAGATAGAGCTGCGGCACTTTGGCATCTGAGGCACAGGGATGTTGCGATCAAACGCAACATTGAGTCATGAGGTAGATAACCTAAAGGAGCAAGAGAATACATCATTTGGGGAGCTTTATGATGAGCAGACCATTACAGTGATACAGAATAACATATCAAACATTAATCAAACAATGGTATCAGCTGTGGTGATGCTCTGAAAGGCCAAAGGTGTGTCATTGTCGGCCATGTGCTCCTATCAAGACAGGATACTACCAGATGTCAAATGTTTTTGTTTCTCTATCCACAGAAACCTCAGGCAGTTGTACAACAATATCCTCTTAACGTTATGCAGTCAGGGGATTTTTCTGGGGCTTCCTGTTGTCACTAAGCCCCACAGATAAGAAAATTAAATTTAAACAATCACAGTTGTGGTAGTTCATGTAAACGTCCCCCTTTAAAACAAGTATTTACAGAATGCTGACAGAAATGTATTATCTCAATGTATTTCCCACTAAAACACATTAGGACTACTACCTGTATTAAAGTGAATTGCTGTTTATGTAGTGATGAAAAAGCCATTTGTAATGTAATCTCCATGCTGCTTCAACACAGAGTGCACCCAGATGTTTACATGTTGTGAACATCAGCACATTTCCTCAACCATAATCAACATTTTTGCACATCATGCATAAAATGTACCACCTTCTAATTCATAACCAGTTATATATTACACCCAAAACAGCCTTGCTCTTATAACACAGTATTTTATACTATTCTGCACAGCTGGTTCCAGATGTTTCATAGGGGAAATCATGATCAAACTCGTGGATGGTTCAACAACCATCAGCTAACACATTCAAAATTATAATGAGCAACCTTAGTGCAACTTAATGCACATTATTGTCACGATGAGCAGGATCGTACATCCTAACATCTTATCAGAGTTTACGCGGATACCTAAATAGGCTACACTTATTCTTCAATTTCAAAATAAAAGTCTCCTTAAATGAAATGCTGTGTTTTAGTCATAGAAACATGCTAGGTATGTAGCCTGCTTGTTAGCTAACTAAGAGACAGTGGCCTCGCGGAACATCACGTAATTGAACCATATGGCTTAACATGGTAACTATCAGTCACTGTTGACAAAGTGGTGTAAATATTTTAAAGGTATAGCTAGTATATTGGCATCTTTAAATGAAATGAGTTACCTTAAGCAGCGGTCAGAGGAAGTGACGTATTGTTATGAAACTGTCTTCTTCTTCTTCTTCTTTTTCGGGTTTGACGGCGGATGGCATCCAGCTCAATGGTGCATTACCGCCACCTGTCTGTTCCATAGTGTGGATCAGACAGTACTTACTTCTTATTCTAAATCCCTCACAATCAAATGAGATAAAAAAAAAAAAGACAAGAAAGAAACACCTAAAATCCTATAAAACCCCCGTACCCCTTAAGAAATATAACAATGCCCTAACCTGTGCTGCCTCACTCATGCTCAATACTACCTTTAAAGTGACATCCTGTACTCCTCAACATCTCCCTCTATGTTTCATACTTGTACATCTCATTACTGCGTACTCTATTGACTCCCAGACAAACCAGTCTGGTGCACTATTAATTTTAACATTTTGTTCAGTGCACAGTGCCCCAATCTCAATCTGTTCAACACGGTTAATTCTCTCCTATTACAGACACTACACAACACTATTTCGAATTTGATGTAGATGCCTCCCTTTCCCCTCTTTTTCCTACCTTTCTTGCCACATTTACTTTCTCCCAGATTACACATTTGACCTCGGCCTTATTAACATGTATTTGCATTTCTACAATACCCTTCTTTAAAGGCCCCTTTGACAGTCCATCGCCCTTCTCATTTCCCCTCACCCCCAATCTATCAGATGTTCTTCTGCTGATTCCAATACCTTTTTCCGGTACTGCCACCCCAAATCCTGTCACTACTGTCCAAGGTTTCTTAGCACCATCTGTGTTAATGTGTTTAAAATACCCTATATTCATTGTTAACATAGTATTCAAATGCACTTTTTAGGTATATCTTATTGTTTCCTTTCCTTTTAACCCTTTAACAAATACAAATCTGTTTCAGGCCACACAAAAATCCATGGAGCCATCCAAGGAAACACCACTGAAGGGCCTATCTTCAGATCATGCACTCTTTAGCAACATCATTTTCTATCCAACCAAAGTTGTGTTATGAAACTGGTTTCCTGTTCTGCTATTAATAGAGATCAGCGTCGTGCAGACGCGGTGTCCAGTACTTGAGAAAAACACAACTAAAATACAAATGTGACCCTGAAATAACTTTGATTTCCTTTTTTTATTGCATCATGCACAATGTAGAAAAGTGTTAATTCATTGCATGCTCCCAATGCCCAATGTATTCCTCCTTTCAAAGCTCTGCTCTTTTATTGTAGCCCATATGTCCAGTAGTGAAATATTTTTGGCAAAAGTCTGTATCTCAAACAGCAGTTGGTGCGCCTCCAAGCCCTGCAGCATACGGGGCCCTGATGAGTCTAATCAGTGCAGGGCTGAATTGGACTGAACACACGGAGAGTTTTCTCACAGTTGGTGCTTAATCATGATGCTTGATCACCAGCTCTGCAAGCTGTTCCCAGAGCCGCTGCTGCTGAGTGGGTAGCTAGGTTCATTAGAGTTTATGTACCAGTAAACAGATGATGCGCCTCAAAGGAAAACAGGTTGGTGCCTCTTTCCTTTACCCAATATGTTGACAGGAGTGAGCTGGTCATCAGATTGCACAGATATGTATGATGTGATAGATATATTGTCTCCAAGCACAACACAGAGAAGAGACACATGTGTTTCATGAGAGAGGACTTTATTCTTTGTGGAGCAGAGGCATAAAACAGCATGTAGGCCTGCAGGGTAAACACTGTCTTTCACCCTTCTTCTCTTTGCAGTCAACCTGTTAAAGTTTCCCCTACCTATATCAAGTGTTTAAGCAAAGATTTTTTTAACGCTGCTGTGTGGACGGGCCGTTACAGAGCCCCTCCTCCAACACACACGAACGCGCACATGACCAATGAGGGCACGAGATAAATGTGTGCACAGATGGAAGGCTGACAGGCAGGTAGGCCATCCAGTTATTTTAGCCGGGCCGGTTAAAATGATTGGTCGTGCTTTTTACAGCGCCACGGCTTCCACAGATGACATTTTTGTATGGATTTATTGTCAAAGCATTTAATATATTCATTGCTATCGGGATGTTAAGAGCATTCCATGGAATATAACAAAAAGTGTTTCTGAAATAAATTACGTACCCCACCTTTAAGCAGGTTTTTTTAGGAGCCAACTCAAGCAAAAACATTTGGAAGCTTAATTGGCAAAGATAAGTAACAAATGCATAAAGGATACGGGCTGTATGCAGAATTCAAGTCCCCAGATCTGTTTGAGACTGAGATCCAATTAACCCTCTTATAAATATGATGGTGGTGTCCAATGTGCATAACTTGCCTAGACTTGTGACATGACGCAATATTGACTTGCGTCATGACTTTATTGTGTTTTATAACACTCAAATGAAGGACTCAACTGTAACCAGGTTACAGCACCGTCACCAAAACAAAGAATAATAGCAGCAACAAATATATATAATGGAGGTTTTCTGATTAAATGTGGGCACAGAGATGTAAAGGAAGAATGAAAGTACAAGCTTTTCCAAACTGCCACTGAGCACCACAAGCACAATTTGGTACCAGAGTGATTCTACAATTTAGGGTACATTCCATGTCCATTGATGTCCATTGATGATAATTATAATTATTCTAACTATTTTCTTCAAAAATATCATATTTTGCCTATTATTGGAAAGCATGTTATAATATCACACAAACATTATGTGCATCCTATGCTTTATTTAGCTTGAAATGTGTCATGATGTTCTTAAATTGTCAGTTTTTGCTATGTCCGTTTTTCAGTTGAGGGTGTCTTGGTTTCAAAATAATGAATAAAAACCATTAAAGTAAATAAAAAAAAGTATTCATTTATTTCAAAAGTCTAAATACTAAAGAATAATAACATATTTTTAATTGATTTCCTCCTTTAAATTATTTAAATATCTTAATATATGAATGTCCGCAAAAGTTCTGTCAACTATTATATGTTACTAACAGAACTCCCCCCTTTAACTCAAAAATGGTTTGTCCCAATACCATGTCACCAGCATCACATGATGCCATGTTCCTCTTTGGCAGACATTTTGAACACACTGTGGTGATTGTCCTCTAACTTTTTACAATATGTTATGTATAATAGCACATTGTCAATGAGTATATTAATTGACCATCAACAATGTTACGTACATTGTTATGGTTTACAATTGTTTAATGATTTTAATTCAATTATATGTTCAAATGTGATGTTAACCTGTTCAAGAAAATGACATGTGATCATCCAGGCAAGGCCTACCATTGAAATGATGGGTCAAAATAGGGAAATTGTCAACTAGGTTACCTGTCAACTAAGTTACCCAGTACTGTAATAACTGTAGTAACTTAGTTGACAGGTAACCTAGTTGACAATTTGTATGACATGTAGACGTCATTACACATCATTATCAATGGAATTTTGCACTTCTGCCTTGAAATGAACATAGTGCTGATGGTTAATAATGTGTCCAGTCAACTATGTTATTTGCGTCAAATGTTTGACTTTCATTGTCAACTATGTTGCACCTCATTTTTTCAAATTTAAAATATCTAAAATAGTGCTTCTGATATCCTTTATAGTATAATGTACATCTACACAGGTTGGAGTTTTACATGACATCTCTTAAAACTATCAAAATGACCTGTATGGTAGTTTTATAATACAAAATATCCCTAAACTTAATGACAGTGCTGAACATATCACATGAAAAAACAAAACTTTAATACAATTATTTTTTAAACTTTAAAAAATCTTTGGATATATGGTAGAATAGACTCAAGAGCCTTTCAAATTTGATTTTACTTGAAGTGCAGGACTTAATCAAATGATTGTAATGACATCAAGTTTGTCCGTAACATAGTTGACAAACTGAGTAGTGAAAACATCCTTTCCCTTAAAATAAAATAAAATAAAAAAATGTTTAAGCTTTGCAACTAGTGGATATGTTACACTGAGGAATATACTAACTTGAACCACTGATTGTTCTATTGAGAAAGAACACTTTCTTTGTACTGTTTTGTTGATGTGAAATGCACCCTAAATTATAGAATCAGTCACCAGTTGTCAGAGTCATTGCTGATGCTCACACACCGGGTGCTGCTTTGTTGAGTTAAGAAATTAAATACGCCTCATCACAGAGGCAATTTTGTCCAAATACAATTAAAAAAGTAGTTTCTATTGTCCACTGCAAAGGCATAATTTGATACAAAGATTATCCTCTGACCCACTTCCTGCACTGTTGGTTAAAGTACAGGGTTTTCCAGACATTGTACTCTGTCATATAATACTAGAGAAAGCCCTGGGCATTTACAGACTGAGAAACCGAAAGAGATAGAGAGAGCATGCTGAACAAAAACAACACAGTTCTTGATAAAGGAGACTTTTATCATATTAAACTCTAATGTAAGAGTAAAATAACATTCTGTTTTACATTGTTTAGCATAGGTTTATTCTTTTGCTGCTCCTATTGTGTTTCCTGGTTGTGCAATTTAAAACTAAAGGAGTTTAACCTTGAATGCATCACCAGTAAGAAATGTATATATTTGTAGTGTATTCTCTTCTACATCTCATTAGCTGGAAAGAGCTGTTACACAAAGCTTCATAGTGTGAAACCGTGTAGTATAGAGCAACATTGGATTTGTGGTGACACATTAACTTATTGGGCAGGAGATCGGGCAAGAGCTATTTATTATTAACAGATTATACTCTCCCAGCTATGTTGTGTTATTAAAAAAGGAATTATACATTAACGAAGACAGCTACAATTTCAAATCTCAATATTAACCAAATAAAACACATTTCTTATGTGCAACATCATGAAGCCACTTGTAGAAGCACAGATGACCACACATGTTTTAAATTGTTGAGGCTATTTTGATTTTACAGTTTTTATGTTGCATATCATATTGCTCAACTGTTGCAAGGTATGAAACCATAAGACGCAGATCCTTTCAGCTGATAAATAAAACAATACTGAATGAGTCCTTTGTGTTTTCTCACGGTTCCAGAGGAATCACTGCCAGATAGATTACCTGATGTTTAGATGTAGTTCAGATTAGTGTGCTCAATGAATAAGAGCGCGATGGTACATGCACTGCATACACGTTCAAATGCTTGTTAATTGACCGAAAAAAAACCACACATGCACCACATTAACTCTCCCTCTCAACTGCTGTGAAGCGACCTTGCACCGGGCCCGGCGCCCCTCACTTTGAGCATCATTCATCCATCGAAAAGTAAAATAAATGTCACA